GGGGGGGTCTAGCACAGCGTTACGGAATATTACGGGGGACGGGGGTGTCAATAAACCGCGAATTAAGCGTTGTGTAAGTTATGGACGGCCCCTTGATTGGCTCCTCCTCAAAATTGAACCATGAGGAATTGCGGCATAAAAGATTCAATGGACCACTAGACAAGGTACGGATTTCAGCATTCTGATACACGTTTCTTAATTAAAGTTTCACGCAGAATACGACGCGCACAACGAAAATTACCGAAATCAACTCCTTCCAAAGATATATAATGATTTTTGAAGCGTGAATTCAAACCACCCGCTCATGAAAACTCAATGCTCTGCGTGATTCATTTCGTGCGCTAAACGTTATCATGACAGTCTCTGCGATATAAAAATCGGGAAACCTCAATCTTGACGCTTTGGCTCAGCTGTAGCAAATTGCTTATAGTTTGAACAACACATGGTGGGAAATGAACATTACTCGATTGAGAAGCTTGCTGAAACCATTGTAGTGCGCGATTTGACTCACGTAGAGCTTTGAGTTTTTTGTCAGCGGGCAGTTCAAATTCCTCGTAACCAATGTGAAATAAAAACGTTAATATCTTCGTTTGGAGTTTGTTTCATTAGTTTTCGTTGCGCGAATCGTGCTTTACGTGAAATTCTGGTTAAGAAACAAGTATCAGAATGCTTAAATTCGTACCTTGTCTAGTGGTCCATTGTTAGGTGACTCTTGAAGTTGAATCAGCAGTCAACACATAAAGTCTATCCTCTTCGGTCCCTGTCACAATTTGCAAAGTAGACAGAGTTGTACCAATAGTCATCTTGAAGCTTTTCAAGAAAAATAATTCTTGTACTAAGAGATATTTTCAATCATAAAAATTTCAGTCAAAAAATGAATCCAGTGCGTTCTCTTGGCGCACTTTGATTTTAATGTTTTTGAACTTTGCATTTGTACAATAACTGATTTCTTTTCTCGTTTCAGTCTGGAGCTAAAATAAACATATCAGATGGCTCTTGTTCTGAGCGGATTGTCACAGTATCTGGCACTACTTCAGCTATCTATAAAGCATTCCTTCTAATTTGCAAGAAATTTGAAGATGTGAGTAGGCTTTTTCCTCCAATCATCATTGAGCTCTAAACTGAAATCTTATTAATTATTTTTACTAGCTCTCAGTTCAATGAAAACAATAAGAACATGAAATTATCTGGTGAATCATATGTTTCTAAAAAATGATTGTTTTATTTTATTAATTTTTTGTATTCTTATAAGAATATGTTTGAACAAGTTCATTCACCACATGATTATATTAATCCAAGCACAGAAGTACTATTTTCGTTTGCATATTGGGCAGTAAGTAGAAGAAATTCTCTTGTGGAGAAGTTTATTCTATCATTGCTCTAGAACTCGCCCTCCTTTTATAATGGAAGTATCTGCAAATTTCCTGAATCATTGTTTCTTTATTGTGAGTCGCTACCCTTTAAGCTCTGTAGCAAAGCTACCATACAAATTTCCTAAAAATCGTTAATAGTAGATAGGTATATAATTGTACTTTTTAAGTATTCATTTACTCTTTTGCTCTCCAATGAAAGGATTACCATAAGCTCATAAACTATATTATGAAACTAATTAATATTGACAATTTTGGCTTTATTTCAAATGTCTCACTGTCTTTTTCTTGCAGATTGCTTCATATTTATTGTAGGAAAGCTAGTACATGGGGATTACTTTTTGCATTTTTAGCATTGGCTCATAATACTGTGACACTTCTGTCTTTTTGAAGTGATAAATAAACATGCAGTCATTTTCTTGAATAAAATTAAAAATATTGTATTTAGGAGGGAAAAAAATAAAAATACTGCAAAATCTGGAATGGAAGTCAGAACTCCTTTAATGGAAAACACGCTTCAACCTGTTTTTGGAGAATAATTTTTGCTCTTGATCAAAATTTCCCTTGCTGATTGGATGAAAAGAAATTTCTGGCACTCTTACCGGAATATCTCAGCTGTAATTGATGCTCTTACCTTTTTTTTTAGTGTCTCAAGCATTTGAGCCAATATTGAAACTGTCAAGAAATCATATAATGATTTGAGATTTTTTTTTTAATTTTTTCAGTACTGCTATCAATTCCAAGAAAATGGGAGTGGAGGTTCAAGGCCTCCAATTACGCTTAGGCTAATTGTACCTGCATCGCAATGCGGCTCACTCATTGGTCGGGGAGGTTGTAAAATCAAAGAAATTCGAGAGGAATGCCGAGCATCGATCCAAGTTGCGTCAGACATGTTGCCTAATTCGACGGAAAGAGCTGTCACTGTGACTGGAACAGGAGAGGCCATAACACAATGCATTTATCACATTTGCGTTGTCATGCTTGAGGTTAGTTTTTTTCTGTACCATGGCCAAAGTGCGAAACCATGTATCTCCGTTGCAGTGTTTCAAAATTTCCACTCCTATTGTTTTTTTGCAGAGAAGCAAGCCAACTTTATGGCTTCAAATTCACTCAAAATATTCTGCTATTGGAGAAAAAAAAAATCAAGACAGTTTTCAAGAAATTATGTTGGCTAGTTTTCCAGAGAAAATTAAAGTATGACAGGAAATCAGTCACGTCGTAAACAAAGTTTTGTGGTTTTGCACCTCAGCCATCCATATTTTACAAAAATTGAAAATGTATGTGAATTTTTTTGTAATTTCTGAACTGATGAACTTTTATCACTAGACACTAAGCATAGGTAGAAAATATGCAATTCTATCAGTAACAATGTTCCAGAGTAAAAACTGGACGCAGATTTTAATGTTAAGCAGGATGGGTCTAGAAGCAAACTAATGATCATTGTTTTCAAATTTCCAAAATGGCAGCAATCTTCATTCCTCATGTAAATGTAAATTTAAAATAAATGTGACAACATTTGCGTCATGATTTCAATCAAATGATTGATCATTGCATTCCAAAAGCCCTACCTTTAAGAACTTGCTTTCCTACCTTCCGAGCACTGAAAAGCAACAGTCATTGCAAAATTTTGTGAATTATTAGGATAGAGTTAGGTAGAATGTGCCTGAACGTTAAAATTCTCTTTTTTTTTCTTTTTTTTTTTTTTTTCTTAACTGTGCCTATGAACCGAATTCATGCCAAAAATATTGATTGCCAGTTTTAAGTCCTGAACTAACACTTTCAAAATTTGCATCATAAGTAATGTTATCAGCTTTTGAATTGAATCGGTTCTAAAGTTGGCATGGTGCAAGTAGACCTTAACTACATATTTCAACTCAAGATTCAGTATCCTCAGGATTTTTGGAATTTTGCGTTTTCCTTGTGCCACATAATGCAAAATTAACTCCTCTAAGCACAGCAGAGTATGTTCATCCTGTTTCTCTGCTCCTTTGAGTCAATTTCTTCTGACTCTCTCAAACAATGATCTGGAAAGTATTATAATGCTCTGTTCCCAGAATTAATCGAAGCATTTAATACTTCTTCTTTTTTTTTTTTTTTTTTTTTTTTTTTTTTGTAAAAATCAACTCTTGGTGAATTTTACTTGATTAGATTCTAAGTCCAATGCACTTTTAATTTCCAAAACAGTTCGTTAGAAATCTGTCTAAAAATTGTTTCAACACCTTGAAATTTATTTTTTAGTGTCCACCAAAAGGAGTGACGATTCCATACAGGCCGAAACCTCAAGTATCTGGACCAGTGATTTTAGCCGGGGGACAAGCATACACTATCCAAGGAAACTATGCAGTACCTGCTCACGGGGGTGATGTAAGTAGTGCTCCCCCAGCTTTAACAGGTCTTCTTGGTCCTCCTGGACCCCCAATCCTCGCCAACGCTCTTATGGACCCGCTCACTAAGAATGCTCATTTACAGGCCGCATTACCACCAACCAATATACTACCCCCCACGGCAGCCTACGAAGTAAGTCGTGCGTAATAACACCCCCTCCGTCCACCCCCTCATCTCATTGCTCAGCCATCCGTACAAACAGAAGTCTGATCTGCCCACAAAATTCTCCTTGATATGCATTCTTGTTTCCAACTTGTTTATATGCTTGCCTCCTCCTATATTTACTCCTCGATCTTTGCTCCTTTTTTTTCTCTCTCTCTTTTTACCTTTTATCTTTAATTGCCTGTCTGTCGTTTCCTTATTTTAAAATTCTGATTTACTGAGCAATTTCTTCTAAATTTTTGCTCTTGTCTTGTGTTTCTCCTAACATTTTGCTTTTTAAACATTTGTTTCTTTGAATTTTTCTTGTATTAGCCTTTACTAAGCCACACAAGGCCTTCGGTTTTTAAAGTTGTAAAAGGCCCAAATACGTCTGCCAGTGTTTAGAAAAGAAATTTTGTCCCATTTGAAAAAGTCTTTTTGATTACATCTACCTGAAACTTGCACTCGGCATTTTTGAAATTGATAATTTTTATTCTCATTATCATTTTGAACACAATTTTTCATGTAGGATAACTTGCAAGTATGAAGACCCTGCATATTATGCTACTTTGCTCCTGTAACCTCATTTTATTTATATATGTATATATTAAAAAAAAAAACGGTTCCTCTGAACCAGATTGCGCCAAGCTCAAGTCCAGGCGAAGGTGGCCCAATTTTAATGCTCTGAGACAGTGATCACCCTTTGGCATGCTTCAGAAAATTTAAATCGCATGGATTGGCCTCTACAATTCAAGACATCTACAGTTACCTATGAGAAAACTTCATTAATGTATTCGTCCTTGGACTTGTAAGTAAATTTTTGCCGAGCATTTTCAGCTTCCTCTAGGATCCAAGATCATAAATTGTCGTCTGAATCATTATTTTCCTCATAGCTTGGGACCCCACCTAGAGCAGTGCTCTGATGAAACTGAAACTGTGAATTTAATTTGTGAAAAGAATTTCTCGGAGAAAGTTATTCAAGTGATACATATGTCCGTTTTTGTATTTCATTTACCTAAAAAATAAAAACGGAGGAAGAAAAAGAGATCACCAGGAATTGTCTATTTTTTAGTTAATTAAAGAATTTTGAATGGAAAATAATTGTTGAAAATTTAATATGCGATATAAATCATTTTAAATAATTTTACTCGTTTAGCTTCCTATTGCTTTTGTATTTTTAAGTGCTGTTTGTTTGTGTCTGTCTTCTTCCAAAATTATACTTGGTATCATTTCATTTGATTTCAAAATAAGTGAAGGAAATGAAGATTTGAGCACTAAACATGACTGATACAGTTTAAATACTGTTTTGAAGGCTGCACCAAATTTCTTCTATTTTTTTATTTTATTTCACTTAGGTATCACTCTTTTTGTGCATGGCTGTCTTCTTTAGCTAAAAATTTATTCACATCACTGCTTTTCCTTGCAATTAGGTGTTTATTAGCGGTTTGGCTGCAAACCATTGTTTTTTTTCTTCTTTTTTTGACTTTATTAAGAGTCTGGTTTTGATTTTACTGTTCTTCTCGAAATGTTACGTGATATGCATTGTATGCACAACAGTCAATGACATTGAGTATTTAGATGAGAGGAGATCCACTGCAAATGAGGATTTGATGTAAGGGTTGAAACAGAATGCAGTTGTTTCCTCCCTTAAAGGCTCTAGATCCTAGTGCATTTTCGATGATTCCACCAGTGTACATCCTTTTCAGTGCATCTCAGAAGTAGGTGCGGATGCTAGCTCAGTAATTTATAGATTGAGTTTGCTCAGTAAAAAATTATGAGATTCATTGTATAAATTTCGTTTGTGTGATCTTTCAATTAATCATTCCTTTATAGTGATTTTTTGCTGCCCCCCCCCCTCAAAAAAAAAGAAAAAAATCGCGAACAACCAAGTTTTTCTAAATTTTTTCATATTCCAACTTTTCTTAATGGAACAGTAACAAGGCGTTTGACTTCTTCTCTCAGAGTAGAGTCAGTGGTCGGTGCCCTAAACTCAACCCAAGAATTTTAGACCTTTTTTTTACGCTTCTCTAAAAAAAAAATTTCCAAGAGAGAACTCAAAGAAAGCCTGTTGGTAGGGCATTAATTGTCAGCTAATTTCAAAGGGCCCTCAAGATGCTTCTTATTATTTTAACAGTTCATTAACTGTGTGTCAGTTTTGAACTTCTTGTAAACTGTATTTCAATAGTTTTTTTCAAGGCTCTTCATTTCTTTGGTACAGTTTCTATAGTTTTTAATGTTTCACGCAGTCCATAGGATTTTTTAATTCATTTATTTTTAGTGATTACATATTTTACTATTTTTCATGCTACGATTTAGTATTGATCTCTTGTCCAAGTTTTGGGTAGGGTCTCTTAAAACCTCTTTTTTCTTTGTTGAAAATTAGAAAAAATCAAAATCATTCAACGATGATTATCTGCAAATTCTATACTTTTTTAATTCCTGATATTATACTCAAAGGCATTTGCTTTGGGCGTGCCCCAGTGAATGTTTACTCTTCTTCTTTCAGTTTAAACGCATGGTTTAGTGCAACGCTTCTTCTTTGTTTCGTAGATATTCGTTGATGGAAGATATCTGCCATTGTTTACGTGACGCTTTACTAATTGTTATGAATACTTGATGTTCTATTAGCTACTTCCTCTCTCCATTACATTTCTTTTAAAATCCGAGGAAATCCCTGGCTTCCTGTTTCTAATGTTATCGTTGAGCGTGTAATTCTCTTCTCTGGTATTGGGTGCGCTTGAAATCCCTGCCTTTGATTTATCATTTATACTTATTTTTTGAACTTCTCTCATCACCCTGGAGGGGGTGTTTTCTCGCCGATTTACTGTGTCCTTTTTTTTCCTCTTTTTTTCATCTTTTTGTTCCACAATCTGCAGGAAAACTATATTAAGTTTTTTTGTTTTTGTTTTTTTTTATTGAAGGATCATCTAAAAAAGGTCTTTGGGGAAAAAAGTTTTTTTTTTTTTTTTTCATGATCTTGTCTTTCATGTGTTATTTTGAGACTAGCGTTTAATTTTTTAACTGAAAAGATTATATGAGAATATATCAGGTAATCGCCGGTTTTTTTAATGAGATTTTACTTTTATCAATCTAATGATTAAAATTGTCCGATATTACCGTTTAGTCTTTCGAGCAATTTTGTCTATGCCTTACAGACCGCTCCGACAAAAATCTAAAACACTCCCAAATATCTGGAGCCAATTTGGTTTTTTTACCCTTTCAAAATCAATTCAAGATGGAAACAGTTTTATTGACCCTCTTTTTTCAGTACATGAGTAGTCAGCAATTCTTACAATAAGTTATGAATAGGCTCTCCTTTTCGTGACCCTAATGAACCAAAAGACGCAAATTGAACCAAAACATCTTTGCCATGTCTTCTCAAAATTTCATGCAAATAATCTACATGAATGCAATAGAAAGATTATAAATAAATCTTTACCTAAGCCTGACATTTTAGCATATTTTTACAAGTTACACAGACTTAACATAAAGTATAAAAAAAGTGTATGATAGCATCTGTGTTTTTTCCTTCGGAGGTATGTTTTTATTTCATTGGGAAATGGGTAGCTCAAGAATTGATCTTGGCTTTCTCTATTTTCTTTATCATTTTCAAGCTCGATTATGATTAGTCCCTCAGCTTCCTTGAATACTTGGCTATATTTGTTTGCATAGGTCTCTGACATGTGAGTTTTTATAACTTTATAAGTTGATGTTGGTTGCATTAAAGTAATTGCAGCCTGTAATGAGCAAACTAGGAGCAGCTGTCGGATAAGAGTATTGAAGGTGTCGTTATCACATTTATCTAAAGATATTTTTCAGAGTTTAGCAAGTCACCACCGTCGTCAGTAGATCTTCTCAATATACAAACTGCAAATTTCTCAACTAATCTCAGAAGTAACATTAATTCTTCTCTACGAGCACTACGGTTGTGTAAATAAACATGAAACCTACATAATTTGACTTTGAATAACTGGAATTCCATTTGATAATCAAACCTCAAGTTAGAATACTCTTACTAAGGTTCCACTGTGTGACTTTGTCTGGAGGTGGCTACCGCCACCCATGATTTGAAATAGCAAAGACATGAATATTCGCACAATTTCAAATTTTTTTCCTCAAAAATGAAAAATTCTAACCATTCAACCATGATTTCATTTGCACTTAAAACTTTCAAATTCACTATTTGCACAGCCCTAGTATCAATATAAATAGTTGGGAAAACAATTTTATTATATGAGACGGAAGTAAAATCTGCTGTTGACTGCGCAACATTTTCAGATTTGGCAAATATTTTTCAATATGGCTCAAAGAGAGCTGTACAAGCATTGACGTAACCACCCTTAAAATTTACGCAAAATCAGTTGGTTGACGTTCAGAATGAAATGTAAGTTAAAATGGAGATTAATGCTGTATGTTATCTGTGGTTTCCAAAGATCATATGTAAGAATGATACAAATGTAAAAACCCATCTCTGATATTTTATTTTCATAGATGAACTTTAATTTACGGAGAGAACAGAGAACATTCATGTTGATCTGTATTTTCCAATTATTTTACATATCAAGTGGCGTATCCAAAATTTTAAATGACTGTCATATTCTTCCTGTGTTTTTTTGGAACTTCAGTCCTATCTCCAAAAATGGAATGGATGCCAGTTCATGCTTGAAATGGAAAGCCTTGTTATCAGAACATTGCATGATTCTCTTGAGGGGGAATAATGTGTCCAGTTTAATGTTCTTCTTCATTTTTCTCTGGGTTTTTTTTTCCTGAAGAATTTTCAACTTTTTGTATGTTTTTTGTCATTTTTGCTTCGTTTCAATTTTCAATTAATTGAACCAAGACACAAGTATCTAGGTGTTGCCTCAGTTCAATACCAACTTTTGGTAGCTGTATCTCATAGAGCTGCGAACTAATTTTTCTGTCAAAGAATTTTATAAGTGAGCGAATTCCTGGTAAAGAAGACTAATTTTTCTGTCAAAGAGTTTTATAAGAGAGCGAATTCCTAGTAAAGAAGCTCAAATAACTTTACAACACCTAAAATCAAGAAGAGCAAAAATTACTCAATCAAATGTACTCAGTGTCAACAGTGTTATGGTTCTCTTAGGCTGGATTGAATGAAGTCTGTAAAATTTTCTCGTATTGAGCCGATTTGACAAATCTATGGTGCTAATTGCTGTTGTTGAATGTGGGAGTCAAGGTGATGGAAGTTATCTTTCATCTAACAAGACAGGTCAGGCCTATCGTTGGATAGCTCATCTCGTCTTTTTTTATTTGCAACATGAGCAGTCAGCTTGACTGTTTTGTCAAGGCAAGAAAGAACGTTGTATGAACCGTTAGCTGTTGCCTAATTTCCTTTGACAAAATTCGATTGGGTCTGTTGCAAGCAAGAGACACAGTCAACTGAATACACTTTCTAAGTGTAAATTTGTTAGGTAATACATCTAGGCACATCAAAAAAGTCTGAAATCCACTCCTCAGTGCTGGTAACACGCTTTTTCAAATTTACAGCATATACGGGTAGTTTTTCTTGATGACTGGCAGTAAAGTTTGCCAGAAGAGAGACCTAACCTAAATAAACGAACCATCTTGAGAACTGTTGTACTCTCTTTGCATGAGATTTTAATTGATAGAAAGAATTTGTTTCTGCAAAATGAAGAAAGAAAAAGGAAACAAACGTTAAAAAACAAATGACAACTTACAATAGTAAAAGTTTGTTAATTGTTTGCTTACTTTGGGTAGTTCTTTCTTACTCCTCTGCTTGTGCAAACCTAGTTGGTGGTGACTGAGAAAACCTACCCGCAGACGTGAGAAACTTGAAAAAGCATTTCATCAACTTAGTAGGTTGCGCGTTAAGGAGTGGATTTCAGACTTTTTTGATGTGCTCAACGTCATTTTCGAGAAAATCTCTGCTTTTAAAGTGTTTTCAGTCAGCTGTGTCTCTTGCATGCAACAGACCCAATTTCTATGAAACTTGCGAATATTTGTATTCCAGTTTTCAGACAATTTTGTTTGTTGTTTTATCCAAAATAGGTACCTACTTGAAAATTTCAAGGGAAAATGTTTGTAACTTTCCTCTAAAATGAACTATTCATGGAGGCAATTTTCTAATTTTCACACAGCGTTCTCCTTTATCATGGCAGTATGTGTCTCCATTTCTGTTCTGAGCATGCTCTTTCACATTGGCTACCTGTTGGAAAACTACTGGGTCTGAAGTGAGTGTTTACTAAGGTCGGGTTTCTACCTTAAGCTGATTCTGTTAATTTTAACCGAAATTGCATCATAAACTGTGAGCCTGATTTTTTTTTTTTTTTTGAGTCTGAAAGTTTTATGTGCTGAATTTTATGATTGGAATAGAATTTTTGACTTTTTTCAATATCCGTCAAAATAGAAGGGAACTTGCGATTTTTTTGTTGCAGATTGGTAAGCTTGGTGGTGGACCCTTGGCCGGTCTAGCTGCCCTTGGATTGGGAGGTTTAGGTGCACCTACTAATGCCACAGGAATCAATCCAGCAGGTAACTCTTTTAATTTGAAGGTTAAAAAACATTCATACAGTTTAAAAGCATATTTTACATTATATAAGTGTGTCTGTAGACCAGCAAGAATACAAATTATATACTTTTAACTAAGATCACATGGGCTACCAGAATTCTAACTGCTGGCAAAAATTTTATCCATGATGTGACCAATGCAACATGTTTAACCCATTGACTTATGATTTAATTTGACTCTGCCGGGCCAGGAATTACGATTTAATTTGGCGAAATTCAGTAACTTTGAACACTTCAAAATAATCCAGAAATTCTTTCTCTGAGGGTGAAAATTGACACAATAAGCATTCGCAATACAACGTTTGAGGAAAATGGTGAATACTTTGAACATAATGATTTCTCTACTGTGGTTTATAGCTGTCAAAGTTGCAAAAATCGCAAAATCAGCGAAAACCAAAAACTTTTGAGGTTATTTCATGTGCAAACACACAGTAATATGAAAATACCGTAACAAAACAGGAAATTACCATACACAATGAGTCATTGGATTGCCACGCTACTCATATAAACATTGATGAGAACGCAATCTACTGGAGAATCGCCGAAATAATGCAAACAATCGACGGACGGCTCTGAGCCGTCTCTTCAGATCTGGCCCAGCGCAGCGCGGACGGCTGGGAGCTGTCGGTTTAAGTCAATGGGTTAAAAATTATGAATATGTCATGTAGTGTTTGATGTAAATCTTCAAACTGATGGACTATCATACATTTCTTGAGTAGCACTAATTCATGTGTGAGGCTTAATGTCCCCCGGATTTTTCGCAGAAATTGAGGTTTTTCTATAAAAAATCAAGAATTTCCAAATTTTCTGTGACAATCAAGATGCCCCCAACACAATGGGTTTTCCAAGGAAAATTAACTCATTCGAAAAATTGATACACGATAGAGAAAAACCAGTCTGATACATCGATTGCTGGTTCTACCCCCAATAGTTACCTCTGATATTTTTAATTCACTGCTATCTGAAGGAAAACTGGAACTTTTGAGGTCAATTTTAAAATCAGGGGTAGGAACCCAGAACAATTCCTTTTTCTATAATATGCCGGTAGATTATTGAGTACCAAGTGCAGAAAATTCTCATTGTAGTGGTTGGGGGAAATGTAAATGACACAATTTTGTTTCATAAAGTTTGAAAAAGACTGTTTGAATCACTAGCCAAATGCATCATGCCATTTTTCAACAAATTTCAGAAATCTTTACCTCTCAGTGTTTTTCTCTTTCCATTGGGCCCAAAAACTCATGAACGATCATTCTTTTAACTTGGATTAATTTAATTAATAAACCCTTGGAACTTAATCCTGTTTTTTGTTGTTTGCTCTAGCGGCACTGGCTGCCATCGCAGGAAGTCAATTGAGAAATGCTGCCAACCCACCTGCTAACAATCGTATTACGCAACAGAATCAAAATAGTCATCAAACTCATGAACTTACTGTTCCAAATGATCTGATTGGCTGTATTATCGGCAAAGGAGGCTCCAAAATAGCAGAAATCAGGTAATATTTGCTTCTTGTGAATTTGCTAACTAGCCCTCAATTCCCTCTCCATCGGCAGCAGTCAACCCTCAATGAGAGTGCACTGTAAGAGGCTTTGACGCATTCAAAAGTTTGAAGCGTCGATGAATCCTCATTCTTGGGTTTCACCATTACAGTAAAACCTGAGCGTAACAACTTTTTTGATGTAACGATGATTTTCATTCATATCAGCCAAGCGACATTATGTAATTTGATAGTCTCAAGCAACAGTTGGCTGAGGTTGTTGATTATTAAGGACTGAGAGGGGATGGGGCTTCAACCTCAAGTGTAGGATCATCCCTTTGGGGGCACTCGAAGTCATCAAAATGAAAGAAAAATAATCATGTCGAGGCTATCAATATTTGAATATTTCAAGTAGTATTATTGATAAAAAAAAAAAAAAAAATACTGATGGAATTGTAAAATCTAGATTTAAGCCCTCCAGATTTTTTACTATATTGCTATATTTATTCCGGGTTTCAAATCCTCCTTAAAAAATATAACCTCATGAACTGCCCTCATCAAATTCATTTTTCAATAACATTCTTCGTTTTCTATTCTTAGACAAATCAGTGGTGCCATGATAAGAATTTCAAATTGTGAAGAAAGAGAAGGTGGCTCAACAGACAGGACTATCTCTATTAGCGGGAATCCCGACGCTGTTGCATTAGCGCAATATCTCATCAACATGAGGTGAGTTTTTATTTTCAATTTTCATTACCCTTAATTCTCCAAGATTGAAGGTTTGTATTTTATAAGAATTATCGTCACATCTTGCTTTATCATTGTTTAAAGCTTAATGTTTGCCAACTGTTGTTTTTGGTTTATTTTTTGTTTTGAAGTCTCTCAAACCTGACACTAAGACTTAATTTCTCTGATCAAATCATCCTTTATTTCTCCCATTTCCTTTCTCATTTTGTCCCCCCCCCCCAATTTACACTCAACTGCTACTTTAATGAAATGATCATCAAAAAAATTTTCACAAGATAAAAAAATTTGACCCCAGTGAGGTTCTAGGACCTATAATTTCTTGGCCATCATGGCAAGATGGAATCATTCATCGGCAGAGAGTTAGGATAACTCATTCAAATTGTTCGATTAAGACTGCAGTTAAAGAACTGCTTCCAGGAAATTTAAGAGAAAACTCAGCACAACAAGGTACAGCTTTATTCAAGGCTATTCAGTTTCTTCACTTCTCAAATCAAACCAGAGTTCCCAATGTAGAAAGGAAACTGTAGATAAAGCCAATAAACACTGAGAGTAGTTACTGAGGAAAAATGAAGAGAATAGCTATTAGTTAGGAACAATTTATTTTCTTTCGGGTGTGTAAATCTGACTGATGAGATTCCTCAATTCAAATTTTCTGATAAAATACAGCTCCTCTCCAGCCACTCAGATTTTGTTAAAGTGACATCGTAGCTTGATGTCCTCAGAATTTCCAATGAGCCATTTGTGGGGTTGTCTGAATGAACGTATCAAAAAAAGAACCTGACCGACTGACAGCCCCAGCAGATATTTCAGAATAGCCTCAAGTAGCAGGCAGCATGCAACCTCACCCAAATTGTATTCCCAATTTAATGGCACCCATCAGTGTATAAAAGTTCCCCTAAAATGCACAGGCAAGTACTTGCCAAAATATGTAAGCTAATTTTAGTTCGAAAAATTCGCTTTTAAACTCTGATAACTCGCAGCTCGACGATCATGCGAGTGCTGGTCTAAAAGCACAATTTGACGAATCGCCATTGCAACCCAACGTGGCAGACACCTTCGATAAGATTTTTCTTTTCGAAACCTTCTTCCCCCTTCAAAACTGCTAAATATCAAACAGCGCGTACACCTCTGATAAGTTTTTTCGTTTGGAAATGTTTCGGTTGATAATGTAGGTTTAATGGTCTTTTTCTATTTCAAGGTAATTAATGTAAAAAAATCCACAGGATTAATTTCAAACACTTGGAAGGTCTGTAGTACACTTGACTTTGCACCTGTCACAAGCTGCACATTCATAGCTTAAAGGCCATGTCGATAATGAAACTCTTAACCAAGAATCTTGGTTCGCGATGTTGCAGACTTCCTGTCATATTTTATTTTTTAAATGGACAACTACTCAATATCAGTTCTGAAAAGCTCCTGTGATTTTTCTTCTCTGTACAAAGCAAATTCTGAGAAAACTTTAAGGAATGATGCTGATTTGTTCCACCTTAGAAAATTAAATCAGGGTGGAAATTTTTAAACTATGCAAATGAGAAATATCGACAGTGTAATTCGGCAATCACACAACTCCGTTTGCTACGTCGCAGACTTCCTATTATACTTTATTTTTTAAACGGAAAACTACTCAGCAGCAATTCTTTAAAACCGTCATAAATTTTCTTCTCAATGCGAAGAAAATTCTGCAAAAACTTCAAGAAATAATGTCAATTTGTTCTCCTTTAGAAAAATGACGTAGAGGCGGAGATTTTCAGACACCGCAAACGAGTTATGTGATCGCCGACTTACACCGTCGATATGGTTTTGGGAGTTTCTTTATTGATATGTCAGGTGACGTCTGATGAAATTGAAAATCTACAACTTTGTATGGTTACACCTGGTGCAGCCTCAAGGGGAGCCCTCTTGATCAATCCTACAAACCTGTTTGAAGGTCAATTTGCTAAATATGTACATTCGACTGGATGTTTCTTTATTGACTTAATTCTTGAGTAACAAAGATACATACAAATCCTAAGACCAACCTCTGCCCTAAATTACCCAGCTTTCTGAGAACACTGAATTTAAAATGGATACAAGTCACTGCTTTTTTGTATATTTTTGTTTTTCAATGCTTTCTTTTTATTCTCAATTTCATTTAACCACTTCAGAAACATTTTAAACTTCCTTTCATCTGACTGGCCTAATCTTCAAGTATCTATGTATAAACTCCTCTTGCCAGGAATCTAGGTCCATCCCAAGTTTCAATCCCCTATCAATCATTGATTTTAACTAATCGATTCTTGTCTAACAAGAGTGGAGCCACTGAAGTTTTTAGTGATATATGTACAAAGGTCATCTATTAAATTAATGCGTTCACTCTCATTCAAAATCTATGACAGATATAAAAGATTCAGTTACTTTTACGGATCAGGCATACTTTCAGCTTTACCTGAAGCTTTTCGGAATATGGCAAGGAGCATCATATCAAATTATGCGAAAATTTAGCTGGTGCCAATTTTCGCGGTATTCTTTACATAGTCCTCGAGACGTGTCGTCTAGACCTTGCCTGCACTAAATTATGACCATTTCAAATTGTTGTAATTTTTAATGGTTGTAAGCTGTTTGCTACAAAAATACAAGTATTCATTGTGTCAAGTAAAAGGTGAGGGTATTGTCAACTTTTTCTGAAGAGCACTTTTTGGTAGAATTTCAAGTGGACCCGAAGACTCAAAGTTTGCAGAACTTCGGGCGAACTTGTTCCCCGATCTTATGATAACTATATAATAACTATAACTTACCTCGCGAAACCCCAGTTCATTGAACTTATTCGCCGAAAGTTCTGCAAACTGCACTGGTGTGGACAAGGCTTTAGATTCCTTCAAAAGTCGTTCCTCTCAAGAAGTTGGCTGTATTCTTTCTGAAGAAGTAGGAAAAATGTCCTTTTCCATCTCCTTATTTCAAAGTTTTGTCTCTCTTAGCTTACTCCTTTATTAATAGTCTTACCCAGGGTGTCTAGCAAGTGGAAAATCTTAAACCAAAATGCAAGGCATGAAGTTTCACTCATGGTAATTGGGAGCAGTCACATTGTCTTAATCATGAGCTGAAAGCCATTTTTTCTAATAAGTTGGAAGTGCCCGTATCAAGTGTCTTATTCAGTGCTCTCTATTAAAAATTAATTTAACGAACAATTACTGTTGACTGCCAAGAAATCGTAAAATTTCCAACTGATCTTAGTTTTTTCTTAACTCCACTGGTAAATGCATGGATTCTTTAAATTGCTGAACCGTTTCTAAAAAATAGTCGTGAATAATGTTTGCAATTTTCTGAAATTCCATTGTTTGGAAGTGAAAAAAAAATCTGAGGAGACAAAGAATTAAAAGCATTAAAAGAATTTAATTAACTTTTTAAAGTCAACGAGCTGATTTGTAACTCACTTTTTATCATATTAGTCGTAATTACTTACTTAGGTCCATGCCACTTGAGTAATAATCAGCAACAACCCTCTCAAATGAGAGAATCTGTTAGACACCTTGTCCATCTTTTGCCCTAACTGATGCAGTTAAATTTTATCTTTAACTCGCCCTCTCCCCGGTGAAGTGACGAGTCCGATTATATGAGAGACTGCCTCATGAAACTAGCAATCCATGGAGTTCCCTCTAAATTGTCAAGTATAGCCCCACAGCTTCTGCATTAGCACCTTTTGTAAGAAAAACTTGCAGACATGCCGTTGTCAATTTTCTGCTCGTAGCTTTAAACAGTTTTTTTTGGATGAGTTTGAATGATAGGATCTTTAAAGTAAAACTCGCTGAATTCTCTCAAAACAGTCGTCAACTTTTCTGCCTACACTCAACTCCAAAAGCTCTAAGAAAGCCTGTGTTGGCGCAGCTTATAGTTTTGAACCAATAAAATGGCCCTACTTGTCCCATATGCACATTTTTCCGGTGGATAGTGTCTTCTTTTTAGTGCAAAAAAGGATCTTATGCAAAATTGGGTCGTTTTCAACTGCAATCTAATTTTTAAAATATTTCTAGGTTGATAGAGAATCACATCCTAAGTTTAAAATACCAAAAATTCTTGAAATTACATAGATGGAATGGTTGAGGGCTCCAAGTTAAAAATTAATTGCAGTATATTTATTCAATATTGTAATTTATTGTTATCTTCCTCTTCTTCCTTCGACTAAAACTCAATCACAAGCCCTATTTGTCCAAACCATTACCGTATCAGGCACGTTTGAAAAGAGCAAAATTGATACTATTTTTCTGCGGGTGTTAACCATCTAGGATTCAGATCTAGAGATTTTGAAGTTTCAAAATCACTCATGATGCAGCTCTGAATATAAACCGACTTCCCACTTCGGTCCTGTTTTAATTTATTTTTCTTTCTGTCTCTCTTACCTTGTTGTTTTCATTTTTTTTTTTTTCTGTTTCTTTTTCATATCTTCTAAAAATATAACATAATTACTCATTCCACTTGAATCCTGCCACAAACATCCTGATCCCATCAGTGTGGAGCTCCAGAAACAGAACCTTGAAGCCCAAAATCCTTCAAACCCAGGTGGAGGTTCCATCTCATCAAGCTCATCCGCTACTCCTGCTTCTACCACTCCCTCCCCTTTAGCCGGCGCCATTCCGCTGGCCCAGTTACTGACTAAACCAGGAGCATTGAATGCACTCTCATCGTTGTCAGCTCTGGGCGGTCTCACTGACCTTATTGGAGAACTGACGAACCACAGTCCTGGCAACGGACCACCGATCCAAATTACTGGTGTGCATCAAAGCAAGAGGAATTACTCATCGCGCTCGCGAAGCCCTAATCAGGATGGTGGGAAAATGAGAAATGATAGAAATGAACGCAGCAAGTTTGCGCCCTACTAGGACAGTCCTTGATCACCTCTTTTTATGAATCACTGTTTTTCTATTTTTATCAAAGTTAAGGAGACTCAATCAATCATTTAGGTTTATAAAGTTGATTTTTTTAAGGGTCTTATCTTTTAATTTCTCCCCAATCACTTTATTTTTATTTATTTTTTATCATTTTTATTTTTTTATAGTTTTTACTTTTATTTGGCTTAAGTGTATTAGTATAGGTCTGACTTTTAAGAAAGATAGCTCTTCATTAATATATAAGGAAAAATTGTTTGACAAGAAAAATAGAAAGTGGCCTCACAGATAAAATGATGCAACAGTCAGCAGAGTGTAGACTAGTTTTAAGAGTTTCTTATGCAGAATTTTATTTCACTATCTTTTCTCTTTTATTTTTTATTTTATTGGTTGAATCATTGAACCCTAGGCAGGATTTTTTTTTATTTTACTTTAATTATTGAAAGGAGTCAAAAGGAGTATTATATTTTTATAACGAATTTCCTTGTTCATAATATAAAATCAAGATTATTAAAAGTATCTGTTCACTATCGCAAAGTTTCTAGAACAGAGGAAAGTATATTGCAAAAAGGAGATTCCACGTTACTTTCTGTTTGTTTTTCTACCGTGTTTTTTTAATCACATTATTTTCTTAACTTTTTAATAAAATGTAGTAGCCCAAATAGAAGAAACTATATAAAAAATCATTCCAGTACCTTAATGGTAGAATTTTATTCAGAGTTAAAGTGTGTTGGTGACTCCTTAATAAAGGTAGCATGCCAATGAAACAATTTAAAAACGATACTCCAAAAAAATTGTCAAAATTTGATCGCTGAAAAGTTGATTTTAATACAAGTGCGGTTTTTGTACATTAATTTAAGTTATAATCGAAGTAAAACTTTAAGTTTTTCTGCTGGATGATGTGCTGTGAAGGAATTGTGAAATAATGTTGGAAAGAACTAAGCTTGCCTCCAAGCTATTTTAATCTTTGATCCATTAAACTAATCGTAGCGTCAAAGAACAAGAATTTTGTTTTTCATTATCTATTTTTTCCTACTTTTGTACCTCCCTAGATATCTCCTTTAATTTCAATATTTTGAACTTCCATAACTTGATTTGTGAAGAAAGTTAAATGTTTTTCTCCCTGAATAGGAATCTTATTTTAATTTTCTAATGAAAAAGATTTTTTTTTCTTTGGATTTGTTCTTCATCCTGTTCAATCTCCAAAACCTCTCGCTTTATTTTATGTCGTTTTAGCAAGTTAATATCTGATCCCTCCAGCTCCCTCCCGGACATTTTTTTTCCATTCTTAATCTCATTAAACATAATCCTCTGAAGCTCCTGAGACTTCCATCGTTACTGTTGTCTACAGATCCCGAGTTTTTCTGTGTCTGTCTCAGAACACCCCCAAATCGTATATCATAGAAGGATTGTACTAGTCAACGTTGTATGAAAATTTGAAAGAAATTGAAATGGAGAAAAATCATTTTCCAATGTCACTAGTTTCCTTTACTCTCGCTTGTCAACTATCCAAGTTTTATCCATTCACTCATTTATCTACTTTAAGATGAGTTTCAGTTATTCTCCATCGTGGCAGACTGATCAGACAGTTATTAATTATTAACAGGAATAGTAGTAAAGGAAATTTAAAAGAACCATTTTTCTATTGAAGTTTCAATCATCATTTTGAGGAAAAATTAAACATGAAAGCATAAAAAATTAGATAATAGTAACTGACTTCCTTTCAAATCAAGTGAATAAAATCTCATCATTAAAAATCAGACTCAACTTGGATTTACTGTAATAGGACAATGCGCGCTATTGTCATAGTGCTTGACTATAGCAGATGATAACCGAGTCCCTCTCCCCTCTAGTCTAAATGTAAAGAAAGTAGACGAGAGTGTCCCATTCATGTTTCAATGCCTAGATGAGAATGAGCCAGGTTCCGAACGGCAAAGATGGACACAGCTACTGTCTGTCATCTTACACTGTCTTCACAGTATTCCAAACGTGCAGCTTCAGTATGTGTTATTCTTCTTAAGCTTCAGGGACATGATGTAGATGTTTTGTCAGTGAGACTAGTAGAAATCTTAGTATCTCTGTTGTGATGTTTCAGACTTTTTTCTCTACAAAAATAAACCAAAATTGCTTGAAATTTTTGCAAAATGTTCCTCGCCCAGAAGTATATCATGACAATAAGTTTGTAACATCTATAAGCACGACCTAGGGTTTCTCTATTTTCAGCATCATTTTTTCTTCAGAACTATTAATCCCTGCTGAAAAATTCATTTCTTAAAAGAAAGTCTCTTGACAACATGATTAAACCCTGTAATGCCTGCAGGCTTAGAGGTTTGTGCTTAAAGTTTTGAAATGAATAGCTCTGCTGAAATTGTATCGTCAGGAATTTTTAGAAAATTAATCTTACTATTACTCTTACCTTTACAAGTGGCTTATAGTTTTCAATTTCTCCATGAAACATTTAAAAACTTTGTTCAACAAGTATTTTGAAACTGTCAAAGCCCTCTTTAAATTAATAATTAGTTCAGAGTTGCAACATTTTAATTTAGACTCATTACTGGTAGTAAAAATCATATTAATTTTTAAGTGACTTCTTCTCTCATCTCATGGTTTAAAACAACTTTATCCACTAATTTTTTCCCACCATATTACCTGTAATAAGAAATAAAAAAATAAAAGTCTTACCACTTCTTTTCCTCGTTTGTCTTCCTGAAATTCTTTGAAATACCATCCTTCCTCAAGTTGTTCATTACTACCAGCAAATTACTCATTTTTTTAAACATTTTTTTTAGTTTTTAATAGCTAAGAAAAAATTTTCCAAGTGAAATATTCGCAGAAATCTATTAACTTATATGCAATTCGAAGAATGATTGTATGAGCTTCTATTCTACAAAATTTTAAAGAAGAAGTATCCTAATGTGGAAAAAATGAAAGTAATTACAAGAATTAAGTGTGTCATTGTAGTATTAATTGATCTAAGTCAATCCTAAATTTTGATTTCAAGTATCAGAGAAGCTAAGCAACTGCTCCAAGTGCGATCCTTTTACTTGCTCTACCTTAGATACATAATTAAATATCAAATTTGCACCACAATTTCTGCTCCCACTTTTGAGTCGTAACTCTCCACAGACCATTACTGGTTTTTTTATCTGCGATTTTGGATGGACAACAATGGTATAATTCTGATCAAAACGTATCATTTCGTCGCAATGACTGGGAAAATAGCTCTACCACGGTGTATGAAGACATCATGACCTAAACGTGCCAAGACTCAAAATATTAATGATCTCATCCTGTCACAACCCTTACTTGCAGGTGAATTCATGGCCAGTGTAAATAATATTGACATACCTATCTGCAATGTTCCCCTCGAATTCTTCCTCCACCCTTCTTTTCAAGCTGAGGTTGGATTGGACAAGTTTGTTAGTATCACATAAAGTCTCATTACTTTGTAAATGCCTACACCCACATTAGTGTAAATCACAGTCGTAATTAGTTGTTTCCTCTATGAAAGAATGTAACTACAGTAAAACCTCGCTAAGTCGGTTTCCGGATAAGCCGGTAACCCGCTTTAGTCGGTAGAATCGCCCGGTCCCGTTTATCACCCATATAACACAATGCTAAATAAGTCTCGGTATCTCGGTTTGGTCAGATTCTGAACCCGCTTAACTCGGTGAAATTTTTCCATCTCGACCTGTTTTTCTTCGATCGTCACCCGTGATCAAGCGTAGGTAGTGTTTCCGTGCGCGGTGCGGTGCGGGTCGGGTCAAGTTACGCCACGAAGGGTGAGCGAATCTCCGAGAAAGCGCAGCGCAGTGCGAGAAACGACATCGGAAATAGAGAGATAAGGAATCAAAAACACTCGATAACGACACGAAAGATGAGAACAGTAGAGAATAGGATATCTGATACCGCGTGTTATCTTATCGCGCGTGTGAAAACACGCATGCATAATTAAGCAATTTCACGCATCGATGAGTTGACAGGTCAAGTCGGCACCGGCCCCTCTCCCCCTACCATCTTGCATTGCCCTTCCCCGCTCCCCCCAGGAATCTTCCGCAGAGTTTTTCGGAGATTTTAGCGAGTATTGATACGTTGCATTTTCAGTTCAACGACCCGCCATAGCGGGTGGCCGCGGCGCATCACCGCGCGGCATGCCGCGTGGGGTGCGCGGGGGGTGATACGCAATGGGGTGCCGCGGCACCCCAACATACGATTAACCCGATGACTTCATGATGCCCTGACACTTACAACACGCAATTTCAAGTGCATCTCATGAAATTTTACTCTTTAGTACCATTCTCTTCGATCAAATGGCTCTCCTAAACACTCCTACAAGTCACTCTACACGCACGTTTGCGTTTGTCCAATTTAGGGCGCGAAATTTGAAAAAGCGCGGCAGGAAAAGTGGCAGTCCGCGTAAGTCGGTAACCCGCTTAACTCGGTAAATTTCCTCGGTCCCGATGAAAACCGACTTAGCGAGGTTTCACTGTATTTTTCAATGTTGCCAAATGTCTCCTCGCAAATTGCATACTTACCAGGAGAATCTTGGTTGTTTCCAAATGAAAATCTGTCAAAACCTAGGCACAGTTGAGAATGTAGACAAGTCAAATTATTGTCTGAGAAGGAAGCTGAACTTAGAATTCTAGTCGGAGGGGCTCAATAGTCTTAAACACTCAACTTAGCCATGCATTCACCTTCATCTTGATATCCTCAAATTTGCTTTTGAACTATGAAGAACCTGCTAGAGCAAAAACCATTCAAAGACTCCTATGAAAACCAACTTCTCCTGACGTTTCCTGATGGCCTCTTTTGGTTTTCCCGTTTTTCCATTTGGACCATCCCACGAGAAATTCCATATCAAAATCCATCATCTCTCCGGTAAGACTCAATTCTCTCTCCTTTTTTCCATTCTTACACACGTTTCACCGGTCGAGATAGATCTTCACCAATGAGCAAAGACTTCAATCATGATTTTGCTCATTTTGATCCTCGTAAATCCTCAATAGGAGACGGAACCACTCTGTGCCTCAGTTAAAATGTGTAATGGTTCAACCCATGATCAGAATACTTTTGAGTAGAACCAGATGGAAAGGAGAGAAAAGTATTTGGTGATGGTGAGGATTAATTTTCTATGCTTTGAAACTGTTGACATCTAAGTATCTTAATCTTCAGAGTGAGTGCAGATCCTTTTGAGCTTTGAATATCTGACTGTTAAGGTATATCCAACTTAACGTTAACGTTTACTGCCGCGCAGCTCTGCAGTTAACAGCACCTGATTGCTTTGCAGGTAACGACCGTCAACTGCCCCAAAATGCCTTGCCACTAAGCCATACTTTAATGCAGGAAGTTAACTCAGTTTCTTTAAATAATTGTTAAAACCATTAAGTGGTGGCTCCACTATTGAGCCTTGCCATGTGTTTCTGTTCATACATGCTGTCTCTAACCTTACCCAACTTTTAACTGATCCAGCACTTTTTCCCCTTCCTCATTTCAAATGTTCTGCGGTACCCGCAAGTAAGTGGATACCTCAACGGAAATTATTACAAAACAAGCATACCCTCTCAAACAACTTATTATTTTTTTCCCCAATTTTTTTGTTCAATTATTCTTTCATTTTATTTGTATTGCTGACGTAAGTGTATTGACACTTGTTGTCCTTCCATGTATGATTTTAGAAATGATTTAGTTTTTAACTAACATAATTAACAAGGAAAGTATGAAAAGCACCGGGGACACTTAAATCATAAAATATCAAACTGGTTTCTTTTAAAATTATCATTCGTCTTTTTCAAATGCAATGAAAATTCCAAGAATACATACAGCACTGATTGTGTGTACACAGTGCCAAAATGTGTTGACTGCTGTGGCACTCTCTTTTGCCGAACTTTAGAAGAAGAATTACTCATGATAGGTATAAAGCCCGAGAAGAATGAGAGAGAGAGCAAAAGGTCACAGTCACTTGTTGCACTCCCTTTTTTCTCGGCTGTAATTTTTATAATCCATGTTGGTGCCTACTTAGAAATAAATGACTGTATAGAAATCATGACTATGTAGAAATTTGATTGCGAGTCAAAATTGTCATTGCAACTTCGATAAGTTGCAGTTATCAAAAAGATAATCCCTCCCCCTCCCCAAAAGTATAGTATGTCATTGGAAACAGAATGAAGAAACTCAAGTCAAAATCTTAATCAACATCAACACAATGAGGAAAAAAATTCAAATCTAAAATCCTTCTCCCCCTCCACCATTTTGGTCGGTATCGAATCGATTCATGAGAAAAGGGCAGAAGTCTAAAAACTTATGAATCCTGCCAAGAAAGTCAGGGCTTGTAAGTTCGTGGACTGCCGCCTTTTTCGCATAAGTCGACTCAATCTTATACACCAATGTTCTGTGATCTTCAGAACATTTTTTCTTTGTTCTATAGAGAAAAAGGTAGATGAAGTGAGTTCTAGAATTTAACTTTCATACTCTTCTTTGACTTTTTCGACGAAACTTAAAGAAAAACAAGCCAACTATGAGTTACCCATACCATCAATCCCCAAGAAAATGATGAGTCATGACAGGTAGACATTTTTCTTGGGAAATGAGGGTCCAGCATTCTTTCTTTCTTCCTCTTTCCTTTTCTTTCCAGTTTTGCAACCAATCAATTTTGTTTGAATAAATCCAAATGTCACTTCTCATCTAACAGATTTTTAATATCTCTTCACCTCCCAATTCTTAAATTCCTCTGTCTAATTTGATTCTTTTTCACTATTTCAGGATATCAATGGAGACGGCAGGAATGCCCATTCCAGCCTACCATTACATCACACCCAATCACATTGTGAAGACCCCGATTCATTAATATTTGCTTCTCTTTGGTTTGTTGTCCAGCAAACCCTGTAGCAGATTTGTTTCACAATCTCAAAAATGTTCTGCAACTAGTCAGTGCGATGCGCGCCTCTTTTCCTCTGTTGAGGTAAACTTAGACTGGCACTAAATATCAGGAAGAGCTCACATTCGTCTGTGTGCTTGTTTGATTACACATCATGTTTTGTTTTGTACATGGTTTGTATTTACTTAATGAGAATGCAATATCTTGTAATTAGCTTAATTCTGTGATAAAACTTGTGTTCGTTCATGCTTCGGATACTAGTTGAAAATGTTACTTTTTTTAAAGTATTGCTTATTTCTTAAATGAGTCATACTTTGCGAGCGTTTTAATTAGCATCTCTCTCCATCCTTGTAAATACTCCTTCAATGATGTCACACAGATTGACCGTACAATTTTATTCGGTTTACCACTCTTACCCCCAAATTATTTTGCATGTCATTTCATGGTACCCACTGTAATTCATCACATAGGACTTAGTTCCACAAAGTGGATTCCGAAAAACTAAGAAGAAGAGAAAAAGCTTGCTCTCTCTTAGTTCAGGTTGAATGAAACTACTGCAAGAAACAGACAGATGTTTCCTCTTTGAGATTAGTGAATGAGTCATGATGCCGTCCGTGCTAACTAGGTATTCAGTTTGCCGTTGTTCTCTCTCATGCAATATGGACTCTGCTTAAAGCCTTTTATGGATTTAGGTCATTTTTAATCGTCAGCATAATCGTCAGCAATATTTTCTGAGCTCCCTTTATGTCTGGCTCTTTTTCTTTAAAAGCATGAATTGCAAAATCTTTTTTGTTTTCCATCAAAAACCTGTGTTT